CCCACGACCTCCGGTTTACCAGTCAGGGTCACTAACCACTAGACCGACAGGCCATGGGTATTCGCTTTGCAATTCTTATAAAATATACCTTCAAAGTATTATAACAAGTACTTACCTAATCTTAAATTCTTAGTAAAGAACACTTGGTATATGGTGGCACTCGTTGTTTTCCTATATCGTAATCTGAAACAAAACAAACATATATTAAAAAAGAAACTACCAATAATTCTCTTAAAACAAAATCATCAGTAACATTATGGAGGGGTCTGTTGGTAGTGGTAAGCCATCCAGACTGATAAATCAGAGGTCGTGAATTCGATTCCACTCCTGACAAACATGTTCTGATAAATACATACAATACACATAAACCTTCTTTCTAAGGAGAGGCATATGTCCAGCAGTGGACTATTAAAGGCTAATGATGTGACATACAATGTTCGGGTATTGTAAGTAACAACTAGGAACCGTATAGATAGGGTATACCTGGTTCCCCGGCTATTAGTACCCGAGACGGCGTGCGGTTTTAGTCGGTTCGAGTCCGACATGCCACCGATAGGTGGTATCCGAGGGGATATTCGCACGGAAAAAAAAAAGGAACCGTATAGAAATTAATATTTTTTTACCTACCAAAGATAAACAAGCTAATTATACAAACAAAAAACAGAAAACCCAACTGCGTAACAATGTATACAAAAACAACAATTTGATGTTTATAATTTTCTATTGTCACTTTGACAATTAAGACTTGTCTCACGACACGTCAAACGTCAAAATGTGTCAAGCTGTTAAGGTGCACAAGAAACATACATACACTAGAAAAACAACCTCATTTCATACCTCATACATTTAAATATTAAAAACAACTACAAATTCAAACTCCTTACAAAGTATGAATAAAGTTCGTCAGACTTGGTAACCGCGCATTTGTGAATGTCAAAAGTTGTTAAAGTTTAATGAGTTTTTCCTCAAGATGGCCGTTTGATGTGCTGTTTATTGTCTGTCATACGATGTTACGTGGATCTTGTTGGTTACGTCTTGTAGAATTCTTATTCGTTTCTTTGGTCGAAAGACAAGAATTACGAAGATTAAAAAACCAGAAGAACTTTACGAGATTAGATCTCACAGACAATTATTTATTACTAGCTTTTGCCATTTTTTTTTGCCATTTTGCCTTTTGCTTTGATAATGTAGCTTTCCATTGGTGAAAGAGTTTTTACAATCTATCAAGTGGTTAACGCGTGAAAGTGTAAAAAACACAAAAACAAACAAACTTACTTTCACATCTATACAAATAAATAAAATTGGAGTGTCTGTTTGTAATATTAAAATAACCGCTTTTTACTAAATGCATATGTATGTTTACACGGTACATTTGCCAAAATAACATTTTTTACAATTTTTGTCTGTCTGTCTGTCTGTTTGTTCCGGGTAATCTCAGGAACGGCTGCACCGATTTCGACGGGACTTTCACTGGCAGATAGCTGATGACATAAGGAGTAACTTAGGCTACTTTTTTTAGACTAGCTTCGCCCCGCGGCGTTGCTCGCGGTTATAACAACAAACGCGGGTAACACCGCGGGTCTCAGCTAGTTTATAATATAAGTATAGGTTTTAAAACTTTACAGTTTGAAATCTTTTGATACGTCATCATGATCATTTTCAGCCTATCGCAGTCCACTGTTGGACATAGACCTCTCTCAGTTAGATCGATTTTGGGCTTCTCGCATCCAGCTCCTGCCAGCCATCTTGCGCAAATCGTGACTTCACCTGGCCTGTGGGCTCCTACACTACGTTTACCGAGACACAGTCTCCACTCAAGAACTGGTTTTCCCTAACGGTTGTCAGTTCTGCAGCTAATAATAATTGTGTTGTAGGAGACCCGTGCTATAGCACATATGGGAATACTACAGTCTCACAGAAAACCTATGTTAAGCTGGTTTCTCGTTGATTTCAACCAGATAAGTGATGCACTTGAGTTGAGTCTCTTGAGTTGTTCGTGTCTATGAGCTACCTCAGTTACTTACCATCAGGTAAACTATCTCCTTGTTTACCCTCCATACCATAAAAACACACAGTCGCCTAATCCAAAACACGCTGAAAAAAACACAAGAGTCCAAACTAGACCAGCGTTGTAAGTTGACAAGTTCAGTAATCTCCTCACCATCATCAGCACCTTTCCCAATTTCTTTTTGGGATCAGCTCAATGTACACATTGCATAAGGTTCTAATTTTTTTATATTTATGGCCGCCCACGTACCTGACTTGAAGACGCTTGGGAACGTAAAGCAGCTACAATGACAAAAAAAAAAATGAACTAGTGTATAGATTGCAACGCACTTACAGCTGCAGGGCGGTAGTAGTGACTTACCAGCAGGTAACATCACTAAAGATACCATAAAAAATGTCCATGAAACGAACTATGTAACATTAGACCTTCGGGCACATGAGGTTTTCGAACCTATTATTCCAAGCGTCCATAGACTAAGGCATTAGGCGAAACAAAAAATATCTCTAACGATATATTACCTCAACTATAATACCACACGAATTATATAGTAATTTAAATTGTATTAGTAATGGAACTGCGTATGGTTTGACACGCCCATTGCTATCGTTGAAGACCTTGAAGGCTGGCTTGAACGCGTTAGGTATTATTACTAGCTCATCTACAATCCTTAATCGACCACTTTTTAGGGTTCCGTTTTAAGAACCCTTTATACATCACTTGTTGTTTATCAAGACTTTTTTCAGAAACCCTTAGAGGCATTAAGTAGAGACCGTGGGATAGCCATGCTTCTCTACAAATGGGCGTGCTCGACTCTAGTGATACCACAGCCTCACAGAAAACTAGTGTCAGGCAATTCTTTAGTTTTTTTTCACCTAGTGAGTGAAATTACCGGAGCAGAAACTTCTCTCCCTCTTGTGGAGGGAGTTAAAAGGCAGCAACGGAGTTTTGACTCTCGTCAAAGGTGAGTTACCACCTCAAGAGAGTTGCAAGTCTCCATGGGCGGTGATAATTACTTACCATCAAGAGACCTGTGAATGGTCGTTTGTCCCTATTTAAAAAAGAATAAGGTCACAATATAAAACAGACAGATATTTGACTATTATTCGTTTAGCTCGTTTTAAGCACAAATGTAGTAAGCCAAATTTTGTTTTAAACAACTTTGTGTGTGGTTTGGTTCCACGGTGTGAATACCGAGGGTCGCTGATTTGGAAAAATGCTTAATTTTGATTACAGAAACTTCAGTTTAGTTAACTAGATAATAGAGAGGTACATGGAATTTTTGAATATTTAAATAAATAAATACGTACCTAATGAATATGTTCAATTGCGTCGTCCTGTGAGTTCTCCACTAGTACAAGGGAAGGGGTTTGATTCCATCCTCAGTGAAATGCAAAGAAAGGATTGCTTGTCTCCGGTTTTCTGTGAGATCATGGTATAATTCCCATATTATATGCCGAAGCATAGCTCTCCCAATCATTAAATTAGTTTTCAAGAATAATGAGAGAATAAGAAAATGACAATATAAAGGTTTTTTATGGGACATAGGTTGAGAAATATTAGTTGATAAGTAATAGTTATAATAAGTAACAATTTCTATACGCGTGATTGGGTACGTGGCATATTGACGTGTCATGTCAATTCTGACAGGTATGACAGATTGACATATTGAAAAGTGACGCTTATTAACGTGTTTATCAAACCTTTCTTGATTTTTAGTTTCTTTGTGTATGTTGTTATTTAACTTTTGTTTTATTTTTGTAATAAATAATATTCTATTCTATTTAGATTTATTGCGATTATTGTCTTCACAAAGGAATTAACACGATCACGTGATATACGTTCTTTGGAATTACTAGACGTTTCAACCAATACGGACGTAGTCAGTTAAACGCCACAATGCGGAAATATTACCACATTAGAACAAGTTATGAAGATTCATTCAAGACTTACATACATTGAGTAAGCATATAAAATACTTTAGAAATGTAGAGCCTTCTACTTACATTGAAAATATATACTCGAATGCCATTTACCACGAAATATAAATGCTGTATAGCACATAGCTAACTAGCATATAATATGTAATATAGCTTTCCTAACTATATATACCATATAATATATTACGTGTGGTGACGGTTTAAGAACACGGATTGTCACCATCCCTATTCATTCCGTAGGTATCGTAAGAGACGAAGGGAGCAAACTACAAAGGACAACGGCATTGCAAAAAGATAAAGAAAACTTGAAATAGACCCGTCTGGCCAGTGTGATGTAGTAGGCCAAAACCTCCTAAGACGAAAGACAAAAGACTATTAAAGGAAGTTGATGATGGTCATGATAGCTTCCCAACATCATATCATCTACCTTCGCTAGAAGATCCTACATTTGAGTAGGAGGGACAGAAATCCAGCAACTCCTCCACAATTAAGTTAAGAAGTTCCATATTTATTGATACAATCTCGAAGCCTACTTCAAAAAGATTTTAACAAGCGACCCGAAATGTTCTTTAATTAAGAACTTTACCTGTTCCCCATAAACCAACACAGCATGTGAATGTTTCATATTATTATATTATTTACTTAAGTGGATAGAAGAACTCTGTAAGTAAACATCGCGTCGAAGTAAAATGTTTTTTTAAATTATGTTCATCTTGTTCTCTAATTTGAATATTAGATCGACCGTATTCTACGATTTTAAGGCCCAAATTGTCATCCTCATTAACTTACGTATAGTACAGTTTAAACCAGGGCATAGACCATTGTGATAAATATGTTGAGACATAATATAGTGTAAAATTGACATATGGCGATGAGAGAACGTGTATACTATCATCAGAGCACTAAAAAGAATCCTTTTTTTTTTTTTTTTTTTTTTTTTTTTTTTTCCGTGCGGAAATCCCCTCGGATACCACCTGTCGGTGGCATGTCGGACTCGAACCGACTAAAACCGCACGCCTTCGCCGGGTACTAATTGCCGGGGAACCAGGTATACCCTAGAAAGGAAGGCCCTGGTGCCCCGAGTTCCACGCACTCTCGCTCCGCACGATAGCCGCAATCAGGCTATCGAGCGAGAGAACTCCCACTCCGATGGCCGCCACGAGGTCTCGCCTCTGCTCAACCCACGCCGGGCACTCTGCCAGCGTGTGGAGAGCCGTGTCCACGGTCTGGCCATCGCAGTGGTGGCACTCAGGCGTTGGCTCCTTGCGGATCAGACACAGGTGATCTCCGAAACATCCCTTCCCAGTGATCACCTGCGTCAATCGGTATGAGAGGGTCCCGTGACGCCTCTCGAGCCAATCCTCCATAACGGGTCTTACCGCCGCAATGACGGCGTGCCCAGCGCTCGGTTGCCCGAGTCGTTCCCTCCACTCCCCTATGATGACCTGGCGGAGTTGGGATTTCCGGTCATCGATTTCTCGAATCTCGGGGCATCGACCCAACTCCTGCGCCTCCTTGCGCCACTGATACAGTGCCGCAAGGGCTCTCGCCTCCAGGTCCCACGGTGGAGTTCCGGCCAGGAGACTCGCTGCCTCAAAGGAGATCGTGCGGTACCCCCTTATGATCCTGATGGCCAGCATTCGCTGCGGTCGTCGCAGTATCGCGACGTTGCTGGCCTTCAGGGCCCCCGCCCATACCGGGCACCCGTAAAGGGCCATGGACCGCACAACCCCCGAGTAGAGTCTCCTGCAGGAGTCATCGGGTCCCTTCATGTTGGGCAGCAGCCGCGCCAACGCACGCGCTGCCCCAACCAACTTGGGGACCAGACCTCGGAAATGATATCCGAAGTCCCATCGGCCATCGAGTACGAGCCCCAGATACCTGATCGAGGGCTCGATGCCGATGCGAATGCCTCCTACCGTGAGGCTAGATCCCTCAGGCGGCTTCCTCCGAAGCCCGTGGAAGAACAGGGCCTCGGACTTGTGCAGAGCCACCTCGAGACCCAGCCGCCGGATACGCTCAACGACTTGGGCAACCCCCGCCGTGGCCCTCAGGGTTGCCTCGTGGTGCGTCTTGCCGCGCGCCGTCACGAGTGTGTCGTCCGCGTAGCACACGACGGCGACACCATCCAAGAAGGCACCACGAAGCACCCAGTCGTAGCCGATGTTCCACAAGAGTGGCCCTAACACCGACCCCTGCGGAACACCGCACGACATTTCACGCTTACCGAGACCGGTCCTACTGGGGTAGACGACGGCTCTCTCCGACAAATATGCCCCGACTATGCGGCGGAGGTAGAGAGGCACTTCGTGATACACGAGCGCCTCCCTGATGCAGCTCCAGGGCATAGTGTTGAACGCGTTGGCGATGTCCAAGGACACCGCCAACACCACTTCACCCCGGGAGACTGCTTCCTTCGCCAGAGCCTTCACGCGCATGATCGCATCCACGGTGGAGCGCCCCTGACGGAAACCGTACTGGTTGTCCGCCAGATCCGGCCCAACCATCACGAGATGCTTGACGAGGCGCCTTGCAATCACTCTTTCAAAGAGCTTGCACACCTCGTCAAGCAACACTATGGGCCGGTAGGCGGACGGTGAGTCCGCCGGGCACCCCTCCTTTCGGATGAGGACCAGTTTCCCCGTCCTCCACAATTTCGGAAACTGGCCCCGCTCGAGGCATGCGCTGAAGAACCCTCGCAGTCGGGGCTCGAGAGCCTCGTCGACTAAGGCCAGGACCCACGCTCGGCCAGGAATGCCATCGGGTCCCGGGGCGGTGTTTTTGGCTTTAAGCCGTAACACCGCCACCCTTAGTTCCACCCCAGTGACCTCAGGCACGTCGTCGTCATCCACGTTAGGCGCCTCAAGCGCCGGAGGCGGAGCCATCTGTGGCGGAGTATGCTCCACCACTCGCGTTGGGAACAGGGAGCCAACGACCCTCTCAAGCAGCTCTGGCTGAAGACACCGTGTGAGCGGCGGGGCCCATGGGCGCATCTTGCCCCTAACCATACGGTAGGGGCGTCCCCACGGATCCCGCTCCAGTGTCTCCAGCATCTCGCGGCGGGCCTCGCTCTTGGCCCGCTTTATCGCTGCCTGAAGGGTCCTCTTGGCAACCCTGTAACCCGCTAACAGCTCCGCCTCTCTCGCTGCCGCATCTTCGGGGCGGCGACGCCTCCTGCGGAACCTGGACCACTGGCGGCGCGCGGTCACGCAGGCTTGACGCAGCCGTGCGATCTCCGGCGACCACCAGTAGACCTGGCGCCTTGCAGTATTGGGCTGAGCCCTAGGCATCGCCGCATCGCAGACGCGGGTCATGGCCTCCCGGAACCACTGTGCCTCAGCATCGACGTCGACAGGCCTGTCCGGCGCAGGAGCCCAGGCCTGTACGATGGCGGCTTCCAGGAGGAGGTCGCGATCTAAGCGCTTGAGCGCCCAACGTGGTTCAGGTGGTGCCGGTCTGACCGGCGCGCCATCTGCAGGGGCGGAGACGTCAAACCGAATATATCGGTGATCCGAACCTGTCTCCTCCCCGACAACGACGCGCCAGCCTTGGACACGACGCGCTAGCGAGGGGCACGCGAACGAGATGTCCACGATCGAACTACCCCTCGCCGTCACGAACGTGGCCACGGCCCCCCGGTTTAGGAGAACTAGGCCGAATCTTTCAGCCCAGTTCTCCAATGCCCTGCCACTCGGGTTCGTGCGCAGGGAACCCCAAGCCTGCGACCAGGCGTTGAAGTCCCCCAGCACAAGAACCGGGTGGGGGCGACAGGCATCGACGACGACGGCCAGCTGAGCGAGCCATTGCTCGTACTCAGTTAGGTTTCGGTTCGGCGTGAAATAAGCGGCCACGACCGCTATATCTCCAACTATCGCCGCTACACAGCCCCGTCCCCTTGCAACTACTGCAAGAGGTGGAGTGCCGGCTGCGGTACCGTGCACCAGGGCCGCCGTGCCGTCCAAGTCGGTCTCCCAGGCAGGCCCGAGAAACCGATGGACATATGGCTCGGCGATAGCGGCGATGTTGATGGACCACTGTGCCATGCTCTGGAGCAGAAGATCCTGAGCATCGGCACCGTGGCCTACGTTCACCTGGAGGATGCGGAGATGTGGATCCATCACTGGACTTCCATCCCCGCATCCCGCAGCGAACTTTGCGGCTGTCCAGCGGCACTCTCCGTCTGGATCAGCGGCTCGGAGGCGGAAGGTCGGCCTCCCGGCTTCGGTCGCGATAGGGCACAGGCCTTACCACCAACCCGGTGGTCGGCAGGCTTGCCCCCCGCTGCGCACCTAAAGCAACGCAGCGGAGCGTTGCAGCCACCCGCCTTGTGACCGGGCTGGCCACAGCGGAAGCATCGGTCACCTACGGTGGCCTCCGCCGTGCAGTGCACCCCTACGTGACCCACCGACAGGCACCTGAAGCACCTTGCCGGTCGGGCCTGCAGGAGCCGTGCCTGCGCCCTCAGGAAACCTCCGACCAGGAGGCTCCGTCCATCGGCGACCTTCTGGGCCGCCGCGATGGGGCAGCTGACAACCGCTGCCCCCTGTCCACCGGGGCCGAAGCGTATTGCTCCGGCCTTTGAAACTAGCTTTTGCCCGCGGCTCCGCCCGTGGGTATATCGGTTATCGCGGTAAAAAGTAGCCCATGTTTCTCTCTGATAAAGTAGCTTTCCATTTATGAAATATTTTTTTAAATCGTTTTAGTGGTTTAGGCGTAAAAGAGTCGGGCACGCCGTCATCGCGGCGGTAAGACCCGTTATGGAGGATTGGCTCGAGAGGCGTCACGGGACCCTCTCATACCGATTGACGCAGGTGATCACTGGGAAGGGATGTTTCGGAGAACACCTGTGTCTGATCCGCAAGGAGCCAACGCCTGAGTGCCACCACTGCGATGGCCAGACCGTGGACACGGCTCTCCACACGCTGGCAGAGTGCCCGGCGTGGGTTGAGCAGAGGCGAGACCTCGTGGCGGCCATCGGAGTGGGAGTTCTCTCGCTCGATAGCCTGATTGCGGCTATCGTGCGGAGCGAGAGTGCGTGGAACTCTGCCGTCTCCTTCTGCGAGCAAGTTATGCTCGCGAAGGAGACGGCGGAGCGGGACCGGGAGAGGTTTAGAACTCTCCCGGCCCGCCAGGCCCGGGCACGGGCCAGGCAGCGCAGGCGACTCAGGCGCCGGAGGTCGCAGAACGACCTCCGTCCTCCATAAGCGCAGGCCTGGGGGTGACAGGTGAGGCCATCTGTCACCCTAGCAGAAGCAGGCCGGGGTGGCGGCGAGCGCGTTGCGAAGCGCGCTCGCTTCCAGGGAGCACAGGGAACATGGGGTTCCCACACGGGGCGGGGGTCGTCTACTCGTCTGTAGATGACCCGAGGTATGTCGGGGCACCAGGGCCTTCCTTTCTAGGGTATACCTGGTTCCCCGGCTATTAGTACCCGGCGAAGGCGTGCGGTTTTAGTCGGTTCGAGTCCGACATGCCACCGATAGGTGGTATCCGAGGGGATTTCCGCACGGAAAAAAAAAAAAAAAAAAAAAAAAAGGACTCTCCCGGCCCGCCAGGCCCGGGAACGGGCCAGGCACCGCAGGCGACTCAGGCGCCGGAGGTCGCAGAACGACCTCCGTCCTCCATAAGCGCAGGCCTGGGGGTGACAGGTGAGGCCATCTGTCACCCTAGCAGAAGCAGGCCGGGGTGGCGGCGAGCGCGTTGCGAAGCGCGCTCGCTTCCAGGGAGCACAGGGAACATGGGGTTCCCACACGGGGGGGGTCGTCTACTCGTCTGTAGATGACCCGAGGTATGTCGGGGCACCAGGGACTTCCTTTCTAGGGTATACCTGGTTCCCCGGCTATAAGTACCCGGCGACGGCGTGCGGTTTTAGTCGGTTCGAGTCCGACATGCCACCGACAGGTGGTATCCGAGGGGATTTCCGCACGGAAAAAAAAAAAAAAAAGGCGTAAAAGAGTAACAAACAAACTTACTTTCATATTTGTGATATAGGTATTGATTACTAGTAGTTGTTAGCTAGTATTTATATAAGTATAGTATATATGTAGTAATAGTCCGTGTGGTGACGGACTAAGAATACAGAGTGTCACCACCCCTATTCATCCCGTGGGTGTCGTAAGACGCGACTAAGGGAGCCAACTACGCAGGACAACAGCACTGCAGAGAGAAGGAAAACTTGACACAAACCCTAGCCCTAGTCTTGCCAGCGTGGTATAGTAGGCCAAAACCTCCTTTCTAAGGAGAGGCCTATGTCCAGCAGTGGACTATTAAAGGCTGTTGATGATAACTAGTATTTATATAAGTATAGTATATATGTAGTAATAGTATTTATATGTATGTTTATTTATATGCCAAAATAATTTAGTTTATAATAACATACTCTCCAAGCAATTCCAGTTTCAAATATCATCTATAGGCGAACAATAGAGCTGTCTCTGTAATCTTCTAAACAAATATTGTTATTGAAATTTCTATCATAAGACCTATTTAAATTATGAAGCCTTATCCTAATGAAAATCGATTAAAATAATAATGGATACCATCATCTCGAGAGTTACAAGAACGTTGCCGGCTTTGAATGCCCCTCTGCTTCCCAGAAGAAATGTGGGAAGGAGGGGGGGGGAAGACCTTTAGTAAAGTGTCTGATTGACGGGGCAATAGTCTTGTCGCTACTTTTGCCTCCTCTTCCATACAAAAGAAAAAAAAATGTCCTACAAAAATTGGTAATAAATGTGGATGTTTTGGATGTCACTGTCTACCTCCAAGAGGTTAAAGGCGTGAGTGTGTTTATGTATTAGATTAGTGTATTAGTGTATTAATAATATAAAATACCTATTTAATGAACAGCATTCAAGCTGATTTTCCTTTACAGTCTTTGAAGTTCAGTCCCAGTGGGCATTTGTTTATGCAAGTCCCAAAATTATCCTCATAAAGTATGTTTCGGTTAATTGTTTTCTTTGATCTCCAAATATTTGTTCAAATGATTGTTTGCACAAACATTGGTATGTTTTTTTATGTTTTTAGAAAGATATTTTGGACCTCCGAACGCTTGAAGTATTTTATTCCACACGGGATATATATCAAACCTTCGGGAAATCAAAGGCATAAACAGAAATAAAAAAACATTTACTAAATAACCTGAAGGATTTAAAAAAAAATACCCTTTTATTTAAAGAAACAAAAACTTATGTTAAGTTTAATTTAACATAATAAGCAATTTAAGAAAATTTATACGATATTAAATTAAAATAAGGCTCTTAGGTAAAGTTACAAAAAGTGCAAGTATTTATTTATTTATTATTTAAAATACATCATGCACATCTAGTTAATCTGAGGAGGTAATGCCTAGGGCATACCAGTCGACATTAGGGTGATGCAGAGAAAACAGGACGTTGAAACAGGAAACATTTAGGTTGAAATTAATTTTGTAATATACAAACTAAGTAATATATCAAATACTCATATACAATCCTACTATACACTAGAACATATATACAAATTATTATATATGTATGTATATCTAAATACATACAAAAGCAAATAAATACCATTAATAATATTAGATGACAATCATATGTCATGTCGATAATTCGTCGTACGGGGCTAACCTATTCCGTCTATAGAGTATTTTAGGAACTAGAAGGGTTAATTGGTAAGGTATTGAACTGAAAGTGATGATTGCATGGTTGATGGCAGTGGTAAAAAGGCATTCCTTATACGAATACGAATGGCAGCAATGACTCGGGGAAACCTGGGTCACATATCTTTATCTTGAGTTGGCCGTTGCCGGATAGTCTGAAACCTCTTTATTCACTTTTTAGTAGCAATGGTGTATTTTACAAAATCCTTATTTTCCTCAGTCTTTTACTAAATAATAATATTTTTTCGG